AAAATCTGTCGTATGAAAGGAGACTCAAGGAGCTCAGTTTGTTTACCTTAACCAAAAGAAGGCTGAGGGGGGATATGATTGCTCTCTTTAAATATATCAGAGGGATAAATACCAGGGAGGGAGAGGAATTATTTCATCTCAGTACTAATGTAGAGACGAGAACAAATGGATATAAACTGGCCGTCAGGAAGTTTAGGCTTGAAATTAGACGAAGGTTTCTAACCACCAGAGGGGTGAAGTTTAGAAACAGCCTTCCGAGGGAAACAGTGGGGGCGAAAGACTTCTCTGGCTTTAAGATTAAGTATGATAAGTTCATGGAGGGGATGGTTTGATGGGATAAAGTGATTTTAGTCAATAGGTCAATAACGTGCCATCGCTGGTAATTAGTAACAATGGTCAATGATGGGATATTAAAAGTTACTACAGAGAACTTTTTCCAGAGGGTCTGGCTAGAGAATCTTGCCCGCATGCTCAGGGTTCAGCTGATCGCTATATTTGGGGTCGGGAAGGAATTTTCCTCCAGGGTAGATTGGCAGAGGCCCTGGAGGTTTTTCACCTTCCTCCGCAGCATGGGGCAGAGGGCGCTTGCTGGAGGATTCTCAGCGATTTGAAGTCTTTAAATCATGATTTGGGGACTTCAACAGCTGAGGCAAGGGAGAGAATTCTTCCAGGAGTGGGTGGGTCAGCTTTTGTGGCCCGCATCATGCGGGAAGTCAGACTAGATGATCATAATGGTCCCTTCTGACCTTAGAGTCTATGAGTCTGAGACTTGTGGATAATGTTAAAGGGGACACCATCAAGTGAATAGGCATAATTTGTGTATTCGGGCAAACTAAGTGGGGAATAAAAATAGATTTGATATCTGACTCTTCTTCTTGACAGTCCTTTTGAAAATAATATATCTTGTAAAAACAAGCTGCTGACCCCATTCAAAAGTCATATTAACTCCAAGATGCAAATGAAATAATTCATTGCATACAGAATGGGTATCATTTACCTGATGGCATCTGGGAACAAAGCCTATGTAGCTTCTCAGTTTCAGAAATATCTTTTTAAAATCCAAATAGATTATATCTGTGGTTGAAGACACTAGACAAACTGAATAAAATCTAGATTTTTGTAGTCTATTTGAAACTGCATCAGTAGGAAATAAGACTAATTATTTCCACAAGAGTCAAATGTAAATATGCATTTGAATGGAAAATGCATTTGAATTCAAGAAACTCATAAGATACCAGGATCACAATAAAGAGCAAAAATTAATTTTGCCCTGAATCATCAGCCAAGGGTAAAACACAAACCAAAGGCGTTAACAGTCGACTACTTTTTATTTACACGTACATCAATTTTGTATTTGCTACTGTCTTTTAGGAGCATTTCTGATGCTTTCTGTCACTGCACAGCTTTCTTTTTAGCAGTCTGGCCGTATAAATTGTTTGCAGTCTTAAATTTATCCCAAGCCTGTCCATCTTTTTACCTTGCTGCCTTTTTAAAACGCCTATTTCCTACACCACTTAATATTTTCATCTTTGAGACAATGTTATGTAGCTGACATTTCCAGTTACCAAGTGCATATTTTTTACCCTCCTCTTCAAATCACAGCTGTCTATGTATTTATAAGCAACCATCACTAAAACCTAAGTGCTGCACATATAATTAAAAGCACAGTGTCTGTCTGAAAATACTCCACTCCTCCCTTAATGCACTGTTTACTTAAGTGGATGTTTTCTTTGTCAGTGAGAGATTTAGCCATGCCAGCCTGCAGCTGTTATTGGGGGAAAGTGAGATTGAAATGTCAGCATTATTAACTATTTCACTGCTGATCAAATCAAGTAAGAAAGGAGAGGGATGATCTGCACAATCTGAGGGTGACATCTCACTTTGTCATGAGAGTTTGGTGTCTGGGAGAGTACCACCACTAGTTTTCTGCCATACTTTGTCTTGTGGAATCAAAAGAACAAAGAGGAGAAGAGCCCCAGGAAGTTGCTTTGGAGTCCACCAAAGAGGTCAGAATCCTGCAGAACCCAGCATGGCAAGTCCTTACCATTTTTTCTCACATGAGCAATGCTTTCTTCTGTGCTTCTCAGGTACTCAGCTTTCTGATGTGCTTCATACATTTGAGTCAAGTAGAAAAGAAAGCATTCCTGTGGCTGGAGCGCTGTTGGCTTTGCCGAAAATCAGGTGGAGCCATTGGAGTTCTGATCAGCACAACCTTGTGCTTTGGCTGCAGTGTGCTCACACTGCTAAGATCGGATTTAATGGGTCCTACAATAGGTACAGCATAAGTGAGTGAGCCTCATCATTTCCTCTGATGCAGATTCCACACCCAACCATTAAGCAACCATGACGTGATGAGCCAGATTATGCAGCTGCAGCTAAACTTGATTAAATAATAAATGTTTCTGGTTCATGTCATTGATTAGGTTAGTTTTTGAACTACCTTTATGATTTTATTTGTCTGATTTGCTGCTGATGTTAACAGTCCCTAATCACACACTTGACATTAAGCATCAGTGTAGTGTAGACTCACTTTATATCAACAGAAGGGTTTTCTGTTGGTGTAGGAACATCACCTCCCCAAATGAAGTTAGCTATATTCTTGGACGCCCTCTTCCATTGACATAACCCATGGTGTAGATGCAGCCATGTCAGCAGCGCTACATTGGTCAAGGCTGTGGGTTTATTTTCACATCCTGATTAAAGTAATTATGCCAATATAACATTTCATTGTAGACCTGGCCTAAGACTTTTTGGTCATGTACCTCTTCATACAGTTATTAATTCACTAACTAAAAGTTAACCTGATTATCAGCAGCTGGCTTTGGTATTAATTTTCATGAGAGAATGAGTCCAGTTTTTTTTTAATTAGAGTGAATTTTAAATTGATAAAAGTGAAAAACTTGCATTACCTTGAGCTAGGCACTGCTGTGCAAGGTTTATGTGTATTTCTGTTATTGCTCTGGTCCCTCATGTTACAGTCTTAATTCTCTCTTCTGAAAATTCTAGTCATACCATATTTTTGGGAGTGATGTAGGGTGGGTATTTAAGGTGAACATGAAGATGTGACCGTCAGAGGCAGGATTTAAATTCTGGTCTACAAAGGTATAAGGTATAAGGGAATGGTATACTTTTGATATTGAAATTACAAATTGGTTTTTTTCTTAGAAAGTTAACTCTGTTTTAACGTTATGCTACATAACGGCATTTCTCAGTTTTCATACAACTTGTAATATTTGAACTGCATGCATTTTAAGAGAGATCTGGTGGTGAATGAGGGAAAAAATTAAATATTCGTGCTGCTTGTTCAAGCCATGTATGTAGGTGCGATGTCAATAGTCACAACTTTTAGTGGTGAAACAGGCAAACTATTGGAAAAGGTCTGAGTACCTCAGGCATCAGCATTGAGCCTTTTCTTGTTTATCCTCATCCGGATACCCTCACAAGGAACATAGTGAAAGAGGCATCTTGGTGCATGCTGTTTGCAGATGATACTGTTCTATGCAGTGAGGAGAAAGATGCTCTAGAAAAGGATCTGGAAAAAGGGGAGATGTGTTGTACAGACCTGGCCTCAAAATAAGTATAGGAAAAAGAGTAGGTGGTATGTAATTTTAATAATGTGACCAATGAAGAATTATCCTTGAAACTAGATGGGCAGACAGTATCGAAAAGGCAAAGTTTCAGGTATCTGCGTTCCAGAATCTGGGGAAATGTAGGACGAAATTAGAGCTAGGATAATAAGTGCATGGCTCAAATGGAAAGAGAAGTGGTGTAGTATGTGACAAGAAGATACCAGTAAGATTGAGAGTCTATAAAAGAATAGTCCATCCAGTTTTAGTATATGATGCTTAATGTGGGCAACAAAGAAACATGACTGAATGATCTGTTCCAGAGAAATGTGAATGTTGAGGTGGATGAATGGGATAAGCAAGAAAGACCCCAGAAGGAATGTGTGTGTTAGGGTACATCTATACTACGCGCCGGATTGCACTTTGGATGGAGAGGATTCCAAGAGCTGACCCCATTTGATGGGATTAATGCAAGAGAGAAGATTTTTGTCTTTGCTAAATATTTGGAAATTTAAGCTACTTTCATCTGTTTTATATATTAAGCATAATTTAAAATGTTGATCTTAAAAAGTGTGGTGTGTATTTTCAAATCTTCTGATGAGAGTTGAATACAGCCAGTAGAGAAGACTTTAATATCCAGAAAGAATAAAGTGTGGTGTTGCTTATAGTCCTGTGTAATCTGCTTTGTAGTTTTTTATAATTATGCACTGAAATATTTTCATATATATCTTGAATTTTTAGCTACAGCATGAGAAGGCTGAACTGGAGCAGCATTTAGAGCAGGAACAGGAGTTTCAAGTGAACAAGCTGATGAAGAAAATTAAAAAACTGGAAAACGATACTATTTCTAAGCAGCTCACTTTGGAGCAGGTAAACTATTTCCTGTTCTTTGAAATAAAGTGTTTATCCCAGAGAACAACTTCTGTTCAGATTTTTTTCACTGGGGGGGAAAAGTGATTTAAAAATACATAAATGTTTTAGGCTCCAAATTTGACCCATTTCTTAAAATCTGTAATTTAGTTGGAGGTCATTGTTCAGGTTTTTACTGTTTTGGGATAGGAAAAAATGTTATCAGGAATATTCAAAGGAAATAGCTGGTAGGTTTATTTTGTGATGATTATGGTAAATTATTTAATCTTAAGCTTCAGACTGCCTATTTGTATAATAGTGCTTCACAGGGCTGTTACAAGGTTTGTAAAGTACGTTCGCCTTTTGTTCATTGAGAAATACTGGTGTTGCCACCACCATTATAACCTATTAGCTCACGTGTACCCACATACAAGTACTTGAAACGGTACACAGGTGTTTACAATGAAGCAAGGAAGAGCACAAAATGATAAAATAACAATTCAGTAAAACATAGCTTAGTCCCACATGGTTTTACCTTAAAAACAGATGCATGTTTGTTGTTCAGCAGCCACATTTCAAACACCACATCTCTCCCCTCAGTGTATGTTCTTATACTGGAGAAGTTTGCACATCAGTCTGTCTACTGCCTCAGCAGTATCTCCCACACTTAATGCAACTGAAAGACCACATAGGGAAAAAAAATCATTTGTTTGAAAGTTGCCCCCATATTTCCAAATCCACTTACCTCAACATAATGCTCCAGCATCCACTTTATGGCCCTGCTTATTTCCCATCCTGTAAGAGTGATACACACCTGAGAGGCCACATTGGAAAGGAGGAGTGTCTTCCCTCCAGACCTGGATAGTCCTATCGCTGTATCCTAGAAGGAAACATTAGAAAAAGTAACTTTAGAAAAAAGAAAAACAGCAATAACAAAATTAATATTGAAATATAGACTATATAAATGACAATAAAATCATCTTCTCTCTGCCAGCACTCTCACCTAGAGATGCTAATACTGTGTCTAGCACTTAGCCTCTAGGCTCATAAGCAGACTGGTAATGGAGCTGGTGCGAGCTGCTGCTCTTCACCACATATTAGACACTGTATCTAACAATGGATATGCTATCCCCACCTGACACATGATGGCCCATGGATAGGGAAAATGGAGTCTCTGCTTCACACAGGGAATAGTTCAGTATAGCAGGAGAAACTCCTGCTTCATCCTGGCTTTGTGCAAGGATTCAGGGAAGTAGACTGAAAAACTCTACACTCCCAAAGTGGCTTGGACGTGAGGACTCCCAGAGCAACTGCAGGCATATCATTATCCTCATGCATGATACTAGGTAATGAAACTGTCAACAAAGTGGGAGAAATTATACCCAAAATGCAAAACATAAATAGACTAAATAGAGAATTATCACTTTTGATTTTTAGTAATCAAGTTTATGGGATTTTATTATATACTATTGAAAAGATTTCAAATGATTTGGGAGTTCTCTGTAATGTTGGAATGGAGTGATTTTTAAATTATTTGATTTTTTGTAATTGATTTAAATTGAGGCTCTGTAAAACTAATTGGAAAATGTGTGCTGTCACAATTTTAGATGAAAACTTTAATGAATTAAATTATAAACTTTTAAAAATACTTTTACGGATAAGGTGTCTTTTGAATTTTACAACACTGCTACAGGCAAAAATTAAAATACGGGAAATTGAAGTCCTGATCTTGCAAATACTTAAGCAGGTATACTTGATTCACATTTACTGTACTTCAGTGGGACTACTCTGTTTAAAATTAAGCATGGACTACTCTGTTTAAAATTAAGCATCATTAGGGAGCTAAACTGTTCTTATTAAACTTCTTGTGGAATAAAGCTGTCACTTCAAAACCAAAAGCTTCACACTGAAAAGTTATTTCTACTTTCAGTATATTAACAAAATTACTGTGAACTTTTTATAAAGATAGGCCAGACTTTTCCAACCCATATTTAGGCACCTAATTGTGGGATTTTCAAAAGCACCTAGTGACTTATAAGCACATGTCCCATTGACTTCACAAGGCAAACCCTGATGAAGCATAGCCTGGCCAGAGGATTTCAGCTTTCTTGATTTATGGAAATTGAGCATATTGGAAGGGAATGTTGGCTGAAAATATATTAGAGGCTATTTGCTAATCAAGTTGTTTGAATTTGTGGTCTTCTCACAATACAAGGCCCTAGACTTGGCTTTTTCAGCATAGAAGAGCATTTTAAATGCGAGACTAGTAGAATTCCAGATTTTACATGGATGCGTTTTTTCTACTAGTAACTGGAAAACTAACGAAAGTATCACACATCTACTTTAGAAACAGAGCATTATAAAATGGGATGAAAGTAAAGAATTCTCATGTAATTAAAAAATCGAATTTAAATAAGTATTTTTTAATTTAAACATTGATTTTAATTATTTTAACCATGATTTTATCCCCCCTAGTTTATTTTGCACTTTGAACATGTCAAATACTATATATACTAAACATTATTCTGTTAAATGTGGATTATACTTAAATGTGGATTTATTGAAGGATCTGAGAAATAGAAAATTAGGCTGATGTAGTAACTGACAAAATCATGACAATCAAAATCTGGAAACAAACTTTAAACTGAAGTAACTCTCTTAGCCACAAGGTGGTGGTGGTGGCCACTTAGAACTAAAGTGCAGACAAACTGAACTGAAATATTATGCTGTTTTACAACCTTTGAAATATCAGTGCAAATAGTGTCTGTACATTTCTTGTGTGTTGGAGCTGTGTTGGTCCCAGGATGTTGGAGAGACAAGGTGGGTGAGGTAATGTGTAGTATTGGGCTAATGTTTGTTGCTGAGAGAGACAAGCTTTGAACTCTTCCTCGGGTCCTGAAATAGAACTCTTTGTAAACCTAAAAGCTAGTCTCTCTTGCCAACAGACGTTGGTTCGGTAAAAGGATTACTTCACTCACCTTGTCTCTGTAAATTCATTAGCATTTGTGATGTTACTGTGTATCTTGGGCCAACAGCTTGGTTAAAAGCTAAAAGGGCTGTGTTCTTACTGTGCTGTCCTCCAGTTTTCTTTACTTAGGTACCTGGCATAATGCACTAATTTTATGTCTGTGCAAAGTTTTGAGTCAAAGATAGATGGCCAATTGTCTTTGAATTTCCTTGCTTCTATGAGTTTGGTGTGTTAAAGTTTTGTTTATATAATTTTCTCTTTTCAGTATGGTAAAATAAATCCCAAGTTCCTTTAAACCCCCTACAGTGCATATTCACTTTCTTCCCTCTCTTTTTTTTTTTTTAAGTTAAGGAGATGAGTTGCAACAATACTTAACTCATCTATTACTATTATGTTAATGCCTAGAGACCCTAATTGAGATTGTGACCCCATTGTGCTACAACCTGTATATGCATGTGGTAAGAAACAGTCAAAAGGAAAGAAAGGGGAAATATTATACAAGTGGAGATTTTAAGGCAGAGAGAGAGAATGATTTCCCCAGAGTTACATAGGGGTGGCAGACTGAATATTTGAATAAGACTGCCCTGATGTTGATGTTATGCTTGAGGAGGAGGAAGCATGATTTTAAGGAATGGTTTCAAACTATTGTGGAGACAATGTGTGTTAACATCAGAGGCTACATTGCTTGCAGTGTTGAGGTTCTACGGGATCCAACACTGTCATAGATTCTCAGATAGTATCAGTGACCCACAGTATCTTCTATTGCATGTGACTAAATTCTCTCTAGTGCAGAACTTCCAGTGATCATTCATGCCTTCATTGCTTCCAGATTTGAGTACTATAGTGTGCTCTGTGGCACAGGTGTCAAAGCCAGTAGGCCAGGGCAACCCACTCCAGGGATAATCCACTCTGACAGTTGTTTCTGCAGTTCATTTTTGTTTTCCCTTGTGTTTCTGAATTTTACCTGATGTAGTTCTTTGTCTTAAGGCAGATAGCTGGAAACAATAGATCTGAGAGATTTTAACTCTGGTTCAGACATCACACCCTAAAGCATAACAGCACAATTTGAAACTCTGGCAATTTCATTAGCTGGATATTTTAGCTAAAATGAACTGTAATGTGCTTCTCCATTGTTGATGCAGTGATACAGGATGAGGTGGCTGTCAGTTTGCCATCCAAGTGCTATAGTCTGCTGTTGTGAGTGCAGTACTGGTTGTGACCCCTTACTGTTTCTTCTTTCAGCTGCTTCCCTAATGAGCAAAGCAGAGGGCAGCTAGAAGAGATGCAGTTGGGGAGATAAGTAGGACTTTAGCTAACAGTAGAATCTGGTGCTACAACCACCCCTTTAGCCTGTAGTTCTTGAAAGAAGAGAGAACAGGTTTTGATGCTTAAGAAGGAAGGTTACTCTTTGGGGCCAGCACTATGGTAAGGTGTGAAGTAGAAAGGGGATGGATGAAGCCCAGAGGTAGAGTTGAGATGCTGGGGGAACAATAAGTTCAAGTCCTGAGACAAAGGAAGAGCATAGAAAAGAAAGAACAATATGCACAAATATGGAGTTTTGAGGGGGATATAGGTTGAAAACTAAAGAAAGGAGGATGGATGGTGAAGAAAAACAAAATGCAGAAATTATTGTGGTCCTAAAAATACCATTTTCCCATTATAGAATACTGAATATAACTAAGTTTGAGAGCCTAAGGACCACATTCTATCACCTGTGTCTATGCAAATTTCCATTGACATCAGTGGGAATTTTCCTATTAATCTGAGGGTAGTGTACAATCTTAACCGGGTAGCCACAGCCCCTTGCCCTTAGTTTAAAATGTCCCTGCCAAACTCATTATGTAGATACTGACTGGCCAAGACTATAACAGGGTTCAAAAAAGAACTAGATAAGTTCATAGAGGATAGGTCCATCAATGGCTATTAGCCAGGATCAGCAGGGATGGTGTCCCTAACCTCTGTTTGCCGGGGCATGGACCACTTGATGATTACCTGTTCTGTTCATTCCCTTTGGGGCACCTGACGTTGGCCAGTGTCAAAAGACAGGATACTGGGCTAGATGGACCTTTGGTCTGACCCAATATGGCTGTTCTTATGTACATCCCATTACAGCATTTAAGATCTGTAAGGAGATATTTGCTTTCCGTACCTATATTTGAACAATTTGTGCTGCTGCAGGTGCAGTAGTGGCAGTGGGACTTCCATGGTTGAGGACCCTCGCTTCTGGAGTTCACTCCACTTGGGAGTCCATCAGAGCCCGTCTCTTGATCTTCAGGGCATGATGCAAGGCTAATTTATTTTTAGTGTCTGATGGAATCTGAGTTTGTTGGCAATTGTTGATTGACTGAAGAAAATTTGTATTACTTCGTTTTTCTCACGTAAGCTTTTTTGAGTTGTGCTAGATTGTACCTGTAATGTAAAAATGATTAAAAGAAGAGTTCAGATGTGATTAATGTAATTTGAATTGTATGAATTAAGTGATGCAGAGACCACTGTACTACAATAGCTGATCTGTAGTCATCCCCTATCATCAGGTAATCATAGAATCATAGGATTGGAAGGGACCTCGAAAGGTCATCTGGTCTGCTCCCCTGTACGCATGGCAGAATTAAGTATTATCTAGACCATCCCTGACAGGTGTTTGTCTAACCTCATCTTAAAAATCTCCAATGATGGAGATTCAGCAATCTCCTTAGGCAATTTATTCCGGTGCTTAACCACCCTGACAGTTGGGAAGTTTTTCCTAATGTCCAATCTAAACTTCCCTCTATGTACCTTCATGGTGTAGTAAAAATGTGTGTGGTGGTAGTTTTGAGGGTAGGGAGGAGTGAATTCTCAGAATGTCCTGTACTCTTCCAAGCACTGGTGAGATGAATTGGCTAAAGAGCAGCGTGCTAAACACTTTATCTTTATATCTCTCCAGCTTCTGCTAGAGTCAGCCTTGAGTGTTTACTGCAACATACTGCTTCTGGACTTGACTTTTGGTTGTATTAAGTATAAATTTCCTTAACTATTAATCTAGAATCTCAATTCAAAAGCGCTTTTTTCAAATTAAAAAATAACTGTCTGGATTAAAGATTCTGTCACACAAGTGCAAAGGAAAGGCTTATTAGTTCTTCCTTCAGTTTTTTTACTTCCTTTAATTGATGATAGAGATTTATTGTCATTTTTAAAAAAAAGTCATGATTTGAGTGCAATAGTCTTTTCATTTGCAGTAACTAATTTTTTACTCAGTTTTGATGAAAAAACTTGTACATGAACCAAAAACTCGTATTTGGAAGGTAAACTGTTTCATGAAGCACTTCAATATCTAATTTTGCTTTGGTATCTGGATTAATTTATTAATAGTCACAATTCACTTGTCTTAGAGGAAGGATGCTCTGTATGTAAGGGCTAAAGCACAGGTCTGAGATTCAGGAGATCTGGATTTAATTTCTGACTCAGCCATAAATAAGCAGAATGGCTGCGAGCAAATCATAGTCTCTGTTCCTCAGTTTTCCCATTTGTAAAATGAGAAAATTTATTTCCCCATTAGGTGTGGTGGTAGTATCTGGTTGGTTTGAGATCGACAGATGGAAAGTGGTCTAGAAGGGCAAAGTATTAAACCCTTTTAGCCTAAGTACATTTAATTATTGTTACTTTTATCTTCAGAGCTTCTGAACTTTGATGTCTTCACAGTTACAACTGTACATCTTGAACTAGCAAAGCATTCTCACCCAGAACTGACTACTGTCCAGCTTCTTTTGGGATATTTTGATGTGCCGGTTTTTTCCCTATTTTCTGGTAGTTCATATTTGAATCAGTAATGGTTACTAGTCTTTTAATAGCCATTGGTTAACTGAGAAGCTCTATTAACCCTTGTTTCTTCTGGCTTTAGAATTTGGTTCTATAACATGGTTATCTAAAAATAGAGAGACCACTTTTCTTCATTGCTCGCTGCGTTTACCTGTGATGCACACAACTTGCCTCTCATGTCAAACAAACATAAACCTCTGTAGTCTCAAATTTTGTTGTTTAATTCTCCACTTTAAATTTTTTTAAAATTACCCATAAGAATAATTATATATATATAGACATGTGAATACATTGTCAATGTAAATTACTGTGACACATGCAATGAGTGGTGTCTCTGCTAGGACCTATCCTTTCACTTGCTGGCCACACTGCAGCTTGATGACCAGATATGGAAAAAGACAGAGCAACCCAAACCTGCGAATGAGAGGTTCTGTTTAGAAGGGGTCTGTGTAGGGAGAACAGGCAATGTACACCAAAGGCAGTTTATGTACCTGTATTCATGTGGTTCCATGATCTTCATTTACTTTGACACTATTCTACTATTTGTTTTAACGAATCTACAGTTTTCCCCCCAGATTTAGCAATAGGCCGAACATTAAACTTTCCAGAATAAAAATCTTAAACAGTAAAGTCAATTCCCATCTCTTTCACCAAACAATTTTCTTCCTCAGCTAAGACGAGAGAAGATTGACCTTGAAAATACATTGGAACAAGAACAAGAAGCACTAGTGAATCGTCTCTGGAAGAGGATGGATAAACTTGAAGCAGAGAAACGGTTTGTCTTGTCATGTGTTCATTATTATAGATACACCATTTAATACTTAATTCATCGCAAGAGGCTTGTTTGATCCGCCAAAGGCACAGAAGTTACAATATTTCAAAAGTTACTTGTTTACGTGATACAACGTATCACATACTTGGCTGCTTAAATTTGCTAAAACCAAGTAGTACAAGAAACAAGGGAACTGGGAAACTAGGGAGAAACTTGCTCACTTACTATTTGCTGGCAGGCTGGTTTTAACGCTATTTTAAAAGGTGACCTGCAAAGAAAACAATTGGGCTTGTACCCTTTCTTTGCTGCTTTATCGTGTATAAAGAAGTCTTGAAAGTGTTGTTTTTTTTTGTTTGTTTGTTTGTTTTCTTTTTTTTTTTCTGCTTGTTTATCCCATAAGAAAGTGAGTTCCTTTGTAGCCTGGAGGACTGACTTAAGGACTAGTGAAATTGTGACGTCACAAGAATGAAGAGAGAACTGAGCAATTTGGGAGAAGATATTTTTCATCATATTTTTTTAAACTTTGTTTTTGTCTTTTAACAGCTTTTTAATTTCAGTGACGAATCTTTAACCTAAGGCTATCTTAAAATAATGTTATACAATCTTTCCCTGCTGTAAGGGTGTTACAGCTCACATTAAATATCCTTGAAACCTCCCAGAGGTTCTTCAGCAAAACTAGGGACATTCAGGTTTGACATTCCTGATATTTTCATGATTTAAAAAAAAAATTCATAATACATCATAGAAAATCAAAAAAGGACGTAAGTTTATAAGCTCTTTGGGCCAGGGACTCTTCTGTTATACAGCTGTACAGCATCCACCTCAATGAGGCTCCTGATTGGGCCTCTGGGAAGTTCTGCAATACAAGTAATAATGAATAAGCCCAGGGTTTAAAAAATACCATTAAAAGTAGTTTACATTTGTCCTTATAGTTCTGTGTTGAACGGTAGCCCGCTTAATGGGAAATGAAGTGATGCTCTAAAAAACCATCTCTCTCATACCAGTGTCAAAAGCTCTATGAAGAATGAGCCCCTACCTAAGGCTCATGCTGTCATGTACCTGTGTTCATCGTTCATCTTCAGCTGCACAGTTTCCTGTTTGACTTTGCCCAGTATGTGTCTAATAGAGAACAATTTCATATTTTCATGCTGACAGATTCCTCCCTCCCTTCACTTCAAGAACCTTTATGTAGCATATCATTCTATTGCAGAGCTCACTTTATACGAAAAGCAAATTGTGCCTGAAACCCTAATAATTAAGACAGATTCCGGGCATTTAAATTTAGGCTTCCTGAAATTTGAAACCCTAGCTATAGAAATATGATGTGAAATACTTTTCTGTGCAGAGATACTAAATAGAATATCTATTTTGGAAGCTGTGTCTAGTTTCTTTTATTCAACAACACAGTGAATGCATATATATATATATAGAGAGAGAGAGAGAGATATAGAGAGAGAGATATAGATATAGATCAGTAGTGCAGGAAAAATGTGTTAATGTACACTTTATGAATGTTGCTCTGCTCTGATCTCTATCTTTGAGGAATGAGTTCTTTATCAAATAGCACAAATATAAATGTACCACAAGAGTTGGACTTGAATTTGCTGAGAAGTTACTTAAGAGAATTAGGAGGGGATTAATATAAATCCACAGTAGTTAAATGAATAATGGAACAAGGCTATAAATATAGCTTGTTTATAGCTTGTTTCTGCCCCTGTAAATTCAGTTTCCCTTTTAACTCTATTTTGACAGTTATTTAAATGAAATACTTCTTGAAATTTGGGCATATAGTGGGTATAGTTGAGGCTTTCATGAAGTTATTTCACTGAGGTGTACAAAAACTATTCATTTTCAAAATAGTGTGCATTTACTATTAGAAACACTTTGACAGTATCAGCATCTGAACACTTAAATTTCGAAAGATCTAACACTTGGCATTTGACAAAATAAACTTTACCTTCATTAATAAAACTTAAGCATACTATTAAAACATAATTGGAGCAATGTATACCTATTAAAATGTTACTACTACAAAGTATATGCATCTATCTTTCAGAAATACAATAACATCTAAATTATTTTTAATACAGAATTTTGCAGGAGAAGTTAGACCAACCAGTTTCTGCTCCACCATCACCCCGAGACATATCAATGGAAATAGATTCCCCAGAAAATATGATGCGACATATCAGATTTTTAAAGAATGAAGTAGAGAGGTTAAAGAAACAACTAAGAGCTGCACAGTTACAACGTAAGTAAACTCTCTTTCACTATAAATGGAATCTGTAGCTAACAATTTACTAAAGTGTACCTAAAGGAATTCCTACATATTTTTAGTTTAGTTGGTGCTGAAATGTTTTAGCTGTTTAAACTGCACCAACCTTGAGAGCAGTGAAGGTACTCTTCACTTACTGTTCTCATCCATTTAAAATTTAATGGTAGATGACAAAACTTAATATTCAGATTGAAGTTTGACTAGGCCATTGTGCTTAAATTCTTTACTGTTGTGGAAAATGTTATTTGATCTTTTACCACGAATAGTCAGTCCTGTACCTTGCATTTCATTTGAAAGATAGGAATTGCAGCAACACAGCTGCTCCAACACCATGCTGTGGCATAATCTCTGAGTGGGAAAGTGTTACCTGTACCTTTGTGTAAGAAAGATGTTGACTCTAGTAGCTAGAGTAAGGCGCACAGTCTCCGTTGGTATATAATTTCTTTTGGTAATTGGATTGACGGTCATCTCCCCCCCACCGTGTGCTAGTCTGGGCAGACTAACTGGAATATTGCTACCCAGTTTTTGGAGCAGTAACGTTTTGCAGAGATAATGGCCTTCTTTACAGACAGATGGGTGCTCTTGGACAGAGGCTTTGTGTACAGGTTTGGGATATTAGTATTGAATGCCACATAAAGAAGATAAGGAGTGTTAGTCTTGCCAAACTCTCCAATATAGCCTTCACTTACCGAACTTCACAATGAAAACAAGGCCTTTAATACTGAGTACTTCATGTGCAAATGCTAGGGTGATTAATTAAACTTGAAGCACTCTTCATTATTTTGCTGTTTCTTTCCTTATTGTATCTTTGATTTACAGTAAAATTTTCAAAAACACCTACGTTCTTCTTCTTAAAGTGATTGTTCATGTGCATTCCAATAGGTGTGCGCGTGCCGCGTGCATGATCGTCAGAAGGTTTTTTCCTTAGCAGTAGCCGTCGGGTCGGCTGTGGAGCCCCCTGGAGTGGCGCCTTCATGGCAGTGTATAAAGGTCCCTGCCGATCCACCGCTTGCTCAGTTCCTTCTGACTGCCTGTGACGGTCGTTGGAGCAGCTCAATCTCTTGCATTCGCAAGTGCCTATCTAGTGGTCCCCCCTTTCTTAGTTGTAAATAGTTTCATAGAGTTGTAGTAACAGTAGTTTGTAGTTTCATAGTAAGCTAAGCTTATTTTGGGGGGGGGGTCCTCCCCGCTAGTTTCCCCCCGATACCGGGGCATGCCTCAGTCGCAGGGGTTTGTCATGCAAGAGGTATGGGAAACCTATGCCCAGAGGCGATCTGCATGCTATTTGTCTTAAGTGCCTGGGAGAAGGTCATCATACAGACAAGTGGTCAATTTGCAGGAGCTTTAGACCCAGGATTGAGAGGGAGCGGGACTATCCTTTGAAGCTCCGGAAACGGCACCGGCAGCATCAATGCACAGCGCTCCAGGGTGGGACACCCTGGTACCAAGAAAGAACTACTCCAAGGAACATTGGCGCCACTCCTCAGCTCGTAAAGCCAATTCTAGCAGGCGGCACCGCTCACAGTCCCCGGTGCCGCATAAGAAGAAGGCAGACAGGGGTCATTCCCCCGTCAAGAAGCCACGTGGGGATTCCAGCGGGGTGTGTCCCACATCGGGACACCTTATGGCCTGGCACCATTGACTCTGGGCCCCGACTGGAGGTCCATCAAATCCAGTGCTGGGGGACTCCCTAATTCGGGAGGAATTGGAGGAAGAACTTGATCTCCCCTCCTGGCCAGATACCTTTGAGGCAGCCCGGGACCTTATTACCATGACTGCACAGTCCCCGGCCCCGATCCAGATGTCGCCTTACAATCCGGCATCGTCAGCAGCACCGCCGGCGGCGCAACATGTGACACTGTCCCTGGCACCATTCATGGCACCGATGGCGACACCACCCGTCGTTCACCACTGAGGCAAGCCCATGATGTTACGGCGCCGTTCCCATCGCCCCGGTACCACTCCCCGGCACCGTCGGGCTCCGCTCCCCCCATGGGCTCCGAGTACTCTTCCGAATAGGAGGCCGAGTCTTCTGTCTCCTGATGCAGCAGGTACTGCTCATGATCCCAACACCAGTCCTGGCACCACAGAATCTTGGACTCGTCGGCACTGATGGTATCCTGGCCAGCCTAGCGTCAGGGCCCAGTACAGTGGCCCTTTTGGACTTCTTGGGCCTATCATCAGGCTCAGGGACAGGGCTGCAGGGCCGCATCAGTGGCATCCTCACCCAGGCTCCCCCCTCGGTGACATTGATGTCACAGGGCTCTGGAGGACCTCCTACGGGACAAGGATCCTGGGACTTCACACCCAGGCGCAGCATCCAAGCCAGCACCACCAGTGCTACTGGAGCCACCTCCAGTCCTGGGGCAGACCGACGCACTCGACCCAGCCTCTAGGGAGCCAGAGGGTCAGGAAGACCCGGTCTCACAGACCTCCTCCTCGTTGTCAGACGAGGCGATGGCGGGCACCACCACCACCCTCCCGGTGATGGACACCAGGGCGCACCAGAATCTTCTTAGGAGGGTGTCCCAAAACCTAAACGTCCAGGCGGAGAAAGTCACAGAGGACTCGGACCCGATGGTGGACATTCTTGCCCCGGAGGGTCCATCTGAGGCGGCCTTGTCCCTGATAAGAACTATCCAGAACACCACTAAGGTACTCTGGCAGACCCTGGCCTCAATACCACCCATCGCTAAAGGGGTGGAGAGGAGGTACTTTGTCCTGCAGAAGGGGTATGAATACCTATTCACCCACCTCCAGCCGGGGACTCTAGTAGTTGGTGCAGCAAATCATAAAGCGAGGCAGGGACAGCTGGGTCCCACTCCAAAGTCATGGGACGCTAAGAAGCTGGACCTTTTCAGCCAGAAGGTCTACTCAACTGGGAGGGCTCCAGCTTCGAGTTGCCAACCAGCAAGCAGTACTCGGCCACTGTGCTTTCAATTCCTGGAGCGCATTGGTAAAGTTTCAGGAGTTGTTTCCTGGCTGACTCGCACTTCTAGAGGAGTGCAGGGTAGTGTGAAGAACCTCCCTCTAGCCTGCGTTAGACTCGGCGGCTCGGACTATGGCCACTGCCATTACAATGAGACGTAGCATGTGGCTGCAGGTGTCGGGGATACCAGCAGAACACCATTCAGGACCTGCCCTTTCACTGTGTGGGCTTGTTTGCCGAAAATACAGCCTCCAGCTTACACAGTCTTAAAAACTCACGGGTGAACCTGAGATCTTTGAGGATCCACACTCCTGCACCCCAGAGAGCGCCATTCAAGCCTCAGCCCCCTTCCCGCTTCTACTCCAGGCCCGCAAGTTGGGACTCATCCAGGAGAGGGAGCAGGAATAATAGGAGGCGCCTGTTGCAGTCCTCCTCAGGCCACGGATGCTGGGAAGGGAGTGGGGGGTGCT